ACAGAATAGCTCAATGGATAAGAAAGCATGACCCACACATATGCTGCCTACAAGAGACCCACCTCAGGACAAAAGACCATCACAGACTAAAAGTGAAAGGCTGGAAAGAAGTTTTCAAGCAAACGGACAAGAAAAAAAAGCTGGGGTAGCAATTCTCATATCAGACAAAATAGACTTCAAAAAAAAGGTTATAAAGAGAGACCCAGAAGGTCACTTCATTATACTCAAGGGAAGAATCCACCAAGAAGACATTAACATTGTAAACATATATGCAACAGTGGAAAATTTATTTGAACAAATAATAAAGGAGAATTTCCCCAATCTGGCAAAGGAAATAGACTTCCAGGAAATCCAGGAAGCTCAGAGAGTCCCAAAGAAGTTGGATCCAAGAAGGAACACACCAAGGCACATCATAATTACATTAGCCAAAATTAAAATGAAGGAGAGAATCCTAGAAGCAGCAATAGATAAGGGGACAGTCACCTACAAAGAAGTCCCCATCAGACTGTCAGCAGGTTTCTCAAAAGAGACCTTACAGGCAAGAAGGGGCTGGAAAGAGGTATTCCAAGTCATGAAATCCCAAGACCTACAACCAAGATTGCTCTATCCAGCAAAACTTTCATTTAGAATGGAAGGACAGATAAGGTGCTTCTCAGATAAGATCAAATTCAAGGAGTTCATCATCACCAAGCCCTTATTATATGAAATGCTAAAGGGACTTATCTAAGAAAAAGAAGTTAAAAAAATAACATGAACAGTGAAAAGACAACAAACTCACAGTTATCAACAACCACACCTAAAACAAAAGCAAACTAAAAGGACAGCTAGATCAGGAGTGGAAACATAGAAATGAAGATCTCAAGGAGGGTTAGCAACAGGGGAGTGGGAGGGAGGAGAAGGGGGAGAAGGTACAGAAAAATAAGTAGCATAGACCGTAGATAGAAAATAGATAGGGGGGGCAAGAATAGCATGGGAATATAGAATCTAAAGGACTTGAGACACATGGTCATAAACTAAAGGGGGGTAATGGTGGGGATGGGGGGTAGGGTGGAGGGGAATGAAGGGGGGAATAGAACAACTGTAACAGCATAATCAATAAAAAAATTTAAAAAATAAAAATAAAAATAAAATAAGGAGCAAAACATAACCAGAGGCATGGAAACAAGAACAAACTGATAGGGATCAGAGAGATGGGGGGAGCAGGATAAGCGACAAAAGAAGGGGTAGGGTCTACTTAGAACAAGTGTAAGTGACCCATGGACATGGGCAACAGGGTAGGGACTGACTGTGTAAGTAGAGGGTTGGGCAGGGCAGGGCAGGGAGAGCAATGGGGAAGAATTGGGACAACTGTAATAGAACAATAAAAAATTTTTGAAAAATAATGAAGTCAGAGCACTCAAAGTGCCTGATTTCAAGACATAATAAAGCTACAGTAATGAAAAGAGTCTGGCATCATAATCAAGACACACAAGTAGATCAATGCAACAGAATACCAAGTCCAGTAACAGACTAACACATACAGGGACAACTGAGTTTTGGCAGAGATGCAAAGCAGCTCTGTGGAGAAAGAAGTCTTTTAAGCAAGTCATGCTGGAACAATTAGTTATCACTATGCCAAAAAATGAACTTCAACCTGTAATTTACATCATATACAACAACTCAAAGTGGATCATAAACCAACATGAGTCCTAAAACTGTAAAACTTTTAAGAATATAGGATAAAATTTTTGTAACCTTGTTTAGGCAACAATTTCTTAAATGCAACACTAAAACACAACTGGTAAAAAGAATTATTCTTCAACAAAATTAAAAACTTGTTCTTCAAAATACATTTTAAGAGAATAAAAAGACAATCCACAGATGAGGAAAAAAATATTTGTAAAACATGTATTTGATAATTGACTTGCATCCAACATATATAAAGAACTCTTAAAAAAATCAACAATAGAGGACTTCCACCAAGACGGAGGCATAGGTGGAGATGCTGTGCTTTCTCACACAACTAAGTTTAGAGACAACAAAATATTAGCAACAGAAAACACAACCAGAACACAGAAAATTGAACTTTTTGGAAGTCTGATAACAACGAATGCTTCAGCCTGACTGGTAAGAGGGGCGAAACCAGCAGCTGGCGGAGTGGGGTTGCACAGGAAAACTCAGTCAAATGGGCTCAGGCACGCGGATCCCAGGCGTGGGGTTGCAAAGGGCAGACCCAGTGAGTGACCCAGTGAGCAACCCAGTGAGCAACCCGTGGATCTGATGAGAGCGCAGGGCAGCGCGTTGACTGTGGTGGCTCATTCCTGAGCAGATAGACCCGCGAGGGAGTGGGCAGTGACACAGGACCCAGCGGGCCCCAGCAGCAAGAGTCAGCAGAGGGGGCCGCTATTTCCCCACTCTGACCCCACCCCCACATACAGTGTCACAACCCAGTGACCTCGCCCTGGTGGCCCTGCCCCACTCCTAAGGCTCCGCTCCTCATACGTAACAGGCACAAACACACCAAAAATGGCTCAAGATCTCAAAGCCCCAGAGCCCATAACTCTAAGTGATGAATAGCAAAACTTTCAGATGCACAGTTCAAAACACTGGTGATCAGGATGCTCATAGAACTGGTTGATTTTAGTCACAAATTAGAGGAACATATGAAGGGTAAACTAACTGAAATGAAGGGAATTGCACAGAAAACCAATAGTGATGAAAAGGAAACTGGGTCTCAAATCAATGGAGTGGACCAGAAAGAAGGAAAAAATGACCAAACAGGAAAATATGAAGAGACAAGAATTAAAAAAAAATGAGGAGAGGCTTAGGAACCTCCAGGACATCTTTAAACGCTCCAACATCCAAATTATAGAGGTTCCAGGAGGGGGAAAGGAACAGCCACCAGTGGAAAACTTATTTGAACCAATAATAAAGGAGAATTTCCCCAATCTGGCAAAGGAAATAGATTTCCAGGAAATCCAGGAAGCTCAGAGAGTCCCAAAAAAGTTGGACCCAAGAAGGAACACACCAAGGCACATCATCATTACATTAGCCAAAATTAAAATGGAGAGAATCCTAGAAGCAGCAAGAGATAAGGGGACAGTCACCTACAAAGGAATTCCCATCAGACTGTCAGCGGATTTCTCAAAAGAGACCTTATAGGCAAGGAGCTGGAAAGAAGTATTCCAAGTCATGAAATCCAAAGACCTACAACCAAGATTGATCTATCCAGCAAAGTTTTCATTTAGAATGGAAGGACAGATAAAGTTCTTCTCAGATAAGGTCAAGTTGAAAGAGTTCATCATCACCAAGCCCTTATTATATGAAATGCTAAAGGGACTTATCTAAGAAAAAGAAGTTAAAAAAATAACATGAACAGTGAAAGGACAACAAACTCAGTTATTAACCACCACACCTAAAACAAAAGCAAACTAAAAGGACAGCTAGATCAGGAGCAGAACCATAGAAATGAAGATCACAAGGAGGGTTAGCAACAGGGGAGTGGGAGGAGGAGAAGGGGTAGAAGGTACAGAAAATAAGTAGCATAGACAGTAGGTAGAAAATAGATGGGGGGGAGGACAAGAATAGCATGGGGAATATAGAATCTAAAGGACTTGAGACACATGGTCATAAACTAAAGGGGGTATGGTGGGGGTGGGGGTGCAGGGTGGAGGGGAATGAAGGGGGGAATAGAACACCTGTAATGACATAATCAATAAAATAAAAATTAAAAAAAAATCAACAATAAGCCCTGGCTGGTGTGGCTCAGTGGACTGAGTGCTGGTCTGTGAATCAAAGAATTGCTGTTTCAATTCCCAGTCAGAGCGCATGCCTGGGTTCTGGGCCAGGTCCCCAGTAGGGGGTGTAGAAGAGGCAACCACACATTGATGTTTCTCTCCCTTTCTCCCTCCCTTCCCCTCTCTAAAAATAAAATCTTTTTAAAAAATCAAAAATAAAAATGAACAATTGCTTAAAAAGGCAAACTTACACATACATTATACAGGATATATGGATGGCAAATATGCCTATGAAAAGATGTCCATCACTATTAATCATTACAGAAATGCAAATTAGAACAATGAGATATGGATAAAATGAAAAAGACTGGCCACACTAAGTGTTAGCAAGGATGTGGAGTAATTATAAAGCTCATATTCTGCTGCACGAATGTAAAATGTTACACTGTAAAATGCAAGTTACATAAACATATGATCCAGTTATCCCAAGATAAAAGCAAAGCATATGGAATAGTTGTGAATGCCGATAGCATCCGTTTCCTCTAGCCCTGGAAACAATCCAAATGTCTACCAACAGGTAAAGTAGTAAGAAAACAGACCCCCCAAAAGAATGCATATACTGATCCCATTTATATAAAATTACAGAAAATGAGAATTGATTCTACATTGTCATAAAGCAGATTACTGGTTGTCTAAGGCAAAGAGACACAGGAAGGGGTGGGAGAGGGATTACAAAGAAACTTTCAGGGGTATTAGATATGTTCACTATCTTGCCTGTGATGATTTCACACATGTATACATGTATCAAAACATCAAATTGTATATTTTGAATATGTACAGTTTAATATATGTCAATTATATCTCAATAGAGCTATTAACTGAGCCCTGGCTGGTGTAGCTCAGTGGATTGAGCACAGGCCTATGAACCAAAGGATCACAGTTCAACTCCCAGTCAGGGCACATACCTGGGTTGCAGGCCAGTTCCCAGCAGGGGACGCACAAGAGAAAACCATACATTGATACTTCTCTCCCTTTCTCCTTCCCTTCCCCTCTAAAGATAAATAAAATCTTTTTTAAAAAAGCTATTAAATGAAAAGCACGTGGCAGATCTATATAATACTAAGTTGAAAATAGAATCTGAAAGACAAAAAGCAAGCTGCAGATCACTATAGCCCTATTTTTGCCAAAGAATTTGTGTATACGGTTTAAGAAGATGTGCAATAAAAGATTAGGCACTATGCATCAACTGTGGACACACACAAAAAACACTGAGTGGTTCAAAAATACGTTGCAGAAACATCTTTATTGACATGGAAAAATGTTCACGATACACAGATGGTGGCAGGGGGAAGCAAGTTACAAACAATATTTACAGTATGATCTTGTGTTCATTTCTAAACTGTTCAAAGCACATAACCCATTATTTTCACAAACAGACATTCTCTTCAGCTCAGACCAGGGATTGTAATTCCTACCATGAGCTTTGGATAACACATCCAATAATCCAAAGTCCTGGGGATGTTTTCTGAACCATAAAGACTTGCAGGAGTCACTATTATGTCAGATGAGACAGCAGCTTGTCTCCTGGTTTTCCTGTTGTGTTGATAAAGCTGCAATTTTGGGTCTATAATTTTCCAATTAGGTTTACCTTATAGTTTTAGTCGGTACAAAAGCAGAAAGTAGACTAGACTACTAGTAAAAGATAGAACCTTTTGACATTTCATGATACATATATGGAATAAAAATTATAAATGGTAAAAAGATTGATTTTCCAAGGAAGAAAGCAATTATCCCTTTTAAATGTAATATGTGAAACAATACACAGAATTATTCCAGGTCTTTGAAAAAAGTATAATCAGACTGACAAAGATATGGATATATAACATATTTCACTTGATGACTCCAAATTTACATCTTATTCAACAATTTTGGGTATCTACTGTTTTCCAGACACTTGTCAATTCATATCCACACACTCAACCCAGACTTTTCTACTGAACCCAAACACATATGGCCAAATGCCTAATGGACATGTGCATTTGGAAGTGAAGAATTGCAGGGACATTTTCTATAGCAAACTCAATCATTAAATCCAGACCCTGAGTCTCCAAGGCCACTACCTAATAAAGTGTTAGGACTGTAAGGTAGCATAGTGAATGGGTTTTATTATCATACAAAACAGATATGCCACCTGCCTGCTATGGGAATCTGAAGTATTTAACCTCCCTAATTCGCATTAGAGGTGATCCAATACAATGGTGTGTGTGTGTGTGTGTGTGTGTGTGTGTGTGTGTGTGTGTGTGAGAGAGAGAGAGAGAGAGAGAGAAAGAGAGAGAGAGAGATTACCTAGCTCACAGGACCACTGTGGGAAGAGAAAAATAGAAACCTGTGAAATATAGTGCCAACACAGTATCTGACATAAGAACAGGCACTCAGGAAATGTTTACTCCCTATACCTACCTCCTTTCTCTTCTGTGAGACTACTGTGACATAAATTAAATATCCTAACAATGAGTTGTAAATGTAATAGCAACATCTGAAAATGAGTATTACATTTATCTAGGAGTCAGGGCCATTTCTGTGTTGAAGAACAAGTTATGCGATGCAGGGAGAGTAAGAGAAATAGCAATTCTTCATCATTAAACAGCTTATAGAAACCCCTACCTTCTTTACATATGGAGAGTGCAAGAGTGTGAATATATGTATATATACAATCAGTTATCTTTTTGTGTATATATGCCTTATTCCTGCAACTATATTGTAAGTTTAATGCTTTTTTTTTTTTTTTGCCATTTGAAGCCACAAATGGATCTAAGCAGATATAAATGAACAAGTTAGCTTACTCAGGATAAACAGGTTCATTAATTTCTTAAGTAAAATGTTGAGTAGTGCCCCATCTACACAAGATAAAAACCAACAGGCATTTTTAGCTCATGATATAGTTAGTATTTATTTGACCCCCCCAAATGGTCTACCTGAAACCTAGTGATTGTCACAGGTAATGCTGTTAGAGATGGAATTTTTAATGAACACACTGAAATAAACAAAGCATTATACACAGCTCTTTGAGAACAGAAAATTAGATTTTGGAGATTGTTCTGTTTTTCTTTCTGGCTCATTCTACATTGTTTCAATAATCACTTTAACATCACGGAAAATGGCCATGAGTGTGTTATAACTCAAGTGATTGACAACTACAATTGAGCCCTTTCTGAAATGCTCCTTTATGTTAATAAATATGGCCACAGCACTAACAAGATTGGCTTTTGCTTCTTTCTGGTTAAAGATTAGTTTTAATGCTGCTAATGCCTTTGTATTGATCATGTCTCTGGCTGCAACTGGGTTTTCAGACATATTCAAAAGTACTTTCAAAACAAGATTTCTGGTTTTACAATTACCCTGGGAAAGCAAATTAAAAAGCTCTGAAAAGTAACTGGCCACAATATGGTGATGGTTAGAATCTGTAGTCAGTTGCCCTAGTATTTTTAAGCCAGACTGCTGTCCAGGTGAGTTCAAGGGAAAAGACATGGTTTCCTTACACATATGTTTAACATGTAATTCAGTCTTGCTGTGTCTTTCATCCCCAGAAGGGGGATTCAGTGTAATTACAGCTGTTTTTCTCACTTCGGAGGAAGAAAAACTGAGCAAGCTTTCAATAAGTGTCACTACACCTACTTCATTAATAAACTCTTGAACAAACGGATTAACATTAATAATCCCCATTGCAATTTGAGCTATTTTATGAATGAGAGGATCAGTAGTTGATTTAAGTAAGGTAACAAGTTTTTCAAATTCCTCAGAATTCATGTAGCATTCTATTTTGCAAGGGCAAGCAAATGGCTTAATCCCATTCATCTCCCTGATCCTGATTTGGCGTCTAATCTCCTCTATGGTCTGAATGCAAGGATCAGAACCAAATGGGTACTCCTGGACAGACTGTAAGCATGAGGGTGTGCTCTTAGACGGACACAGTGTTGCCCCAGGCAGAGACTGAGTATTTTCCTCAACTGAGGCCAGGACAATAAATGAAGGAGGCCTTGTCTCAGATAGGACTTGGGATCTAAATCCTAACACTGCTGGAGTTACAGCAGGGGCTTTGGGCCAGATAGTTACTTCAGACCAGTCCTTGGGCCTATTTTTTTCATTAATTTCTATCACAGGCTGGGGCTTAACTATCCTGCTCACAGGTTTAGGATTAGGGTCAAAACTAGTTTCATCTCCATCCCAAAACCAGTTCCCAATAAAATTCTCTTCTTCCTCTTCAGCCCCTGGCCTAGCCTTACAGGTAGCCCCAGCCATAGGCTCTAACTTCTCAGTACAAAGTGGAAGAGCAACAGCAACTTTACCTTCATCCTTGGCACTGGAATGATTACTAGTCTCTTCTTCACTCCAGAACCAGGGACCAACACTAGTATCTTCCCCAGCCCAGAACCAGGCATCACTACCAGCCTTATCTTTACATGTGGACCTGGAGTTGGCACTAGCTCCAGCCACAGAACACTGAGATACTTGAGTGGCCTCATCTTCAACTTTGGGACTGAAATCTTCCAGAGCTCCTTCTTTCATCTCAGTAACAATCTTCTTCTTACACACTGCCTTCATCTCTGCCACTGCATTTGCCTGAAACCCTGGATCAGCTACTGCTTTAGCCTGGGTCTCGGCTACAGATCTAACTATACCAGTAGCCTCCCTCTTTGTTTTAGCTCCTACACCAGTCGTTTTTTCAGTTTTGGCCTTGTTTCTACTCCTAGTCATGGTTAAAGCCCAGTTATATCAATAACCCTATAGAGTCGGGATTCTCAATGTGTCCCAGATCTTATCTTGACACACTTTCATTCAGTCAGAGATAAACTCTGTAGCAAGAGTTAGAGTCGATTGCCAGTTTAGTAGTCACACAGTCCCCTTTCCAAACACAAAGCCTCCTTCAATGACACAGGCAAGAGGCAGAGGCAAGTCAAGACTGAGAAAAGACGATGGTTCCTAAGTGCAGACCTATTAAAAGTGATAATCTTCTGCCACTCCAAGGCCAGTACAGCCACCGCTGGAAATAGACCTGAGGTGGAAGAAGGAAATGGACTTTGAGCTTCTTCCAAGTGTGGTTATCGATGTAGAGAGAAACAAAGGATGTGAGAGAATAGAGATGGACTGTGTAATAGGAAGTAGAATTATAGATGACTCTTACCTCACTTTATCCCTTCCACACTCCCACTAATGCCCAACAATGTCCTGCCCAGGCACTACCACACTCTTCTCTGCATTAAATAGGAGCAGGGATGATGGGAAAGCTTGCTGAAAGTAAGAGAGGATACAGAGTATCCAGTCCCTTTGGTATACACCACTATATAGATCTATCCAGGTGGGCCTCACACCAACCTGCACTGGTTTCCCTGCTTCCAGTGTTAATGAGCCATACAGCTGAAATCACAGGCAGACCTATGGTCAAAAACACAGGAGAGAACGGAAATAAGAGTTTTGATAGACATGCACTTCAGTTTTTAAACCAAACACCTACATTGCCAAATCTGGGGCTTTGGTTATACAGTTGACCCTTGAACAACGTGGAGGTTACAAGCAGTGACCTCCTCCACAGCTGAAAATCCATGTATACCTAAAATATGCTCTTCACACGTATGGATCCCCAACCAAAAAGCTGAATCTAGTACAATGCAGGTTTTAACTGCAGTCAGAAGAACTGTGTGGGTCAACTGAACTGAGGCTAGTTGGGAACAAAATCCACATACAAGTGGACCCACGCAGTGCAAACTCATGTTTGTTCAAGGGTCAACTACATGTTTCTCACCTTCTTGGTCCTCCTCATGGCTTCCTTACCTATATATTAGGTGTCTACCAATAACCCTATATGCACAGTCTTGGCTCACCACATCCCATTTCCTATACACAAATGTGAGGGCAGAGCTATCTCTAGAATTACGGAATAACTCCAAGCTATAACCTGGTCTCATCCACTTGCAAACAGCCAATTCCCATATCTAGTCAATAAGGGTGCTCATGCTCACACTCACCTTGGATCCAGATGAACAGTTTTGGTCCTCTTTCTTAATGAAATTCAAAGTCAACAGCTACTTCCGGATTTCTATAGGAACCTATAAAGAAGCAAACGTACAGACACACAAACAGGCAGAGAAGAGAAAAGAGGCTGAGATGGGCCAACACCCATGACAAGCATTATAACATGTGTTTTTTTAAAATATTGAAGCTCATGTTAAATGTCTCCCACCTGTCTGCCCCTGTCAAATGATTCCCCAGCCATTCCTCTAAGACCTGCAGCTTGTCTAATTATACCCACCAACTCTGAAGTCGGTCATTTTCCAAGCAGAAGCCACACTTCTTTCCTTGAATAAAAATATGAGATGCAAGAGTAGGTAGTAGAAAATAGGTAACTATATTCAGAAAGTAGGCAGTAAAAATAATGGGGACTGTTATTTCAATAGAATTTTACAAACTGCTGCCCTTTCCCCTTTTCCACTGTATACATAGACCCTCCCTTATTCACCACCTATGGTGGCCAGCCCACACAGCAGATCTCAGGAGATGCTATCCTTCCCGCCAGAGATCAGTCCTCTAGCTGGAGAACAGTCACATCACACAGAAAAGGGGGGAGTATTCAGCAAAACACCAAGAAAATATGTTGACAATGATACAAAAATTTCAGGTTAATGGATAGATACCCAGAGTTCAGGTCCTAACACCTCCTTTTCAAGAATCAGGATATAAGCAAATAAATGTCTCTCAACTCCCATGGTTCTTCAGTAATCCACTCTCACAAACTCTACAGAATATTTTTTTTAATTTTAATTGTTGTTCAAGTACAGTTTTCTGCCCTTTACTCCCATCCCAGACCAACCCCCTACAAAATCTTTTGTGAGACTGTCACTACACCAAAATGAGACGTCAGGGGTAGTTGCACACGGGGTTTAGGTTTCCTGAATTAGAAATTTAAAAAATAAAAATAAAAAATAAAAAAAGAAAAAAAACATTAATTCAAATATGTAATCATTAAATAAGCAGGCATTGAACAACTAGGTTTTTTGATGAGTAAATAAAAATCTTTATGTGATTAGAAAAAAAAAAGAAATTAAATAACCAGACTGACTTCACGATTTCAAAATGGCCTCTACAGAAAACTGTGCCCTCTATTCTGAACCGCCATTACCTCAACTTATTAAAGTGGGCTGGAATGTTGACTAATCAGATACTGAATGAGAAAGACTGATTAATAGCACACTATTTATCTACATGGACTCTTCACTCCGTCATTTCCTTGCATTTAATTGGGTGTAAGACATAAACATGGAAGGTAATAAAACTGTTGCATTAAGAAGCAGGTAAACATTTCATTTTGGTGTCTTCCTAATCTCCATATTCAGCCCCCCCTAAGTTGAAATCCACAAGGTAGGAAGATAAAATAAGGCAGGAAGTCAAGGGAATTAATTGCCTAGAAGCTGGTACACGGACATTTTAAGATTCCCGGATGCTTGCCATGTTATGGTCTCAGTCACCCCCCTATTTGGGTCTCCAGTCAATGGCTGCTGCCCACCAACCCCCAACCCCTCACACCTCCAGAAATACACGCTATTTTCCTGCTCCAACTTTTTCTCAAGCCGCTCCTCTACAGGTGCGTCCTGCCGCCTGAAATCGCCAGACCTACTGCGCAGACAGGAGACTTGGGCATCAACGAGGTGCCTGTTGGAAGGGAGAGTACCCAGGACGCGGGGCCCAACAGGCCCCCTTTCCAGAATCAGAGGCCGGAGTAGCCAACGCCAAGGCCCCCTCCTGGGCATTCCCTCCAGCCCAGCTCCCGCTCCGCCATTTCTCCCGCAGCAGCCCCCCTCCCCCACAGCCCTCTCCCAGTACAGACACGGTGGAAGGCGGGATGCGGGCGCCAGGGAAGATGGCTGGGAGAAGCCAGCGTGATTCGCTTCCCCGAAGGACCACGGGGGAGCCTCTCTGGATACCCCAGGGCCCTGGGCCCGGCCCCCGCCAGTCGCCGCCTTCTCGTCGCCCGGCTCCCCTAGCGCTGCGCAGCTAACTAACCAGCTCCCACCGGCCGGGTCCCCTCCTCCTCGCCAGGCTGCAAGGGCCTGGGCGCGGGCTGTAAACGGGTGGGGGGTGGGGCACCGGGGCACCGGGGCCCCACCCCCGCCCCCCACCATAGCCCCATCTGCCTTTGCAGGCTCACGGCCGGAGTGGTCCTCTCCCCCTCCTCTCGGAGCTCCCTCACCAGCTTTCCACCGCCCTCCGTGCGCTTCGAATTGCAGTGTGGCCTCCCGCCCCGCCACGCACCTCTCCGGCCCACCGCTGCACCAAAACACGCAGGTGTTGGGTAGGGGTTGCGCAGGATGCGACACGAAGCACTGGCAGCCAAGGCGTCGCGAAGAGGGGCGGAGGGATACGTCAGTAATGGGCCGACGCCCCCTCCCAGCCCACTGTAGTTCCGACCAGAGGAGGCGGGGCCGGGACCCAGGCCGGGGGCGGGAGGAACCCCAGCCTATCTTTGCGGACCTACGCACACCCCCTCCCTGGCGATCACCCTGACATTCTCGGCACTGCAATCTATGGGACCGGCGGGCTGGGTTCGGGGTACGGGATCGGGAGGTCAGAAGCAGCTGCGCCTTAGCAGCGGTCAGACGACCGCTGCTGCCTTAGCAGCGGATGGATACAAACCGCCCCTTGGTGCCTGTGAATCGCCAGACTCCCCCCCCTCTGCCTACCTCCCCTTCCCCCATCCCACCCGCCATCCTTCCTGGACGCAGACGGGGGAGGGGCTGTGAGGAATGCGCGCTGGGAGAGCAGAGGCGCGTTCCCAAGCCAGACCACCCCAGACGTCCTGGGATAGCCCCCAAGGTTTTCTTTTATTGTTCACGGGTGAGGGAGGGAAGGAAGTCTGGAGGGGGCTGCCATGGAGACCTCATGGAGGGCAGACCTAGGTCACTAACTCTGGGAAACAGTCCACTGCTCTGCGCCCAGAGTCATTCTTTCTGTCTCACTGCTTTTTCTCTCATTCGCAATGGTTACCCATGTGGCCGGTTTGCGGTCCCCACAGTTGTCCAAGAGTTCCTTTCCCTGTCGGGACCCACACTGGTCCTGCAATCCTCCTTGTCTTGTCGCCCCACAGCCAAGTGTCAAACAGCAGATAGGGCAGGTCCTGGCTTCTCTTCCTCTGTTCTGTCTAGTCTCCTGCAGTCACATCCAAGCTCTCATGATGTTTGGCTCTCTGGAAATGTGGCAGGGATTAGAACCAGCTTGGACCTCAGCACTTCCCATACACACTTGTCTAGTTTGTCCATTAGAACTATTAACACATTAATCGTATACATTTTTAATTCCCTGATAATTACAAAATCTGCATGATATTTGAATCTGGTTCTCATTTTGCTTTGCATTTTCAAACTGCTTTTTCTTGCCTTTTAGCATACCTTTTAATTTGTTGTTGAAACTGGATATAATGCATTGGGCAACAGGAACTGAGGTGACTAGACAATTAACAAGAATTTGTATGTTAGGCTAGTTAACTGTTGAGCTGTGTGTAATGTTTGCTGTAGCTGTAGGTACCAGTCTTCAAATTCCCTTATTGTCCTTTTTTTTTTTCCTGTCTTACCTTTTATCTTTGGGCTCCCCTGAGTACTCCATGCAGAGAGTCTGCATGTTACAGCTCTTTTAGCTATATTCCACTCCTATTATACTGCAGGTTTGTGATGTGACATGGTAAAAATGTGTGGAGAGCATGCTGTATAATCTTAAAATTAAATTCGTCTTTTGTGGGCCTGTGTCCCTAGGCTGTGTACTTCACAAATATTTCTTAGCTTCTTTCTCCACCTTATGTGAAAATGGAAAACTAGAGTGGGCTGGTTACAAGCAATGCCTTTCTCTCAGCAGGCCTGATGCCCTGGGAAAGTTTTCCACTGCAGATTAGGCCTTTCTATGGAGAAGGCTCTGGGTGTGTTTCCTATGAGCACACTGCTCCTCCCACTGCCAGAGCCATGAGGGGATCTTTCTGAGATCTCCCTTGTAAGAACCTGCTAGAGTTCCTGAATTTAAAGCCCACTAAACCTCTAAGACTGCAGGTTGGGTTTCTCATTCATACTATTTCACATTCAGTCTCCAGTAATTTGTCAGAATTACTATTTAAGTCTTCTCCCTTGTTTATGTTTCTAGCCTCTCTGTATTCTATGTAAAGAGAGAGAGGCTGTGACTCTCTGGATTTGTCTTTTCTCAAGAATTTGAGGCGGCTATTTGCCCTGTGACCTCAGTTTTCTGATACATCTAAGATAAGTCATTGATTCTCAGTTTTATTCAGCTTTTTTTCTGGTTGTAAGTACAGGAACAATGACTTCCAAGCTCTTTACATGTCAACTGAAGTCTGGACTATGAATTTTAACTGGGTAGCTGAAGTCCAGTGAATAGCTTGTGTCCTTTTCAGCTGAACTTCAGGTATGGAAATAAAGTTGCTCTTGCAAACCTAGCCTCTCCATAAATATTAGTTCTTTTCTCTCCTAGATATTGGACATTTACATGGCTCCCTAAACTTGTTATTGCAGTATCCAAATTCTTAAACTGGAGTGCAAATTAGAATTCAGACTTCCTGAATCAAAGTTCCTGGTCATGATGTCTGAGCAGCAGTAATTTAACCCTAGGAGCAGAAAATCTCTGTTGTCACCACCACCACAACCACCACCACCAGGAGTCAGTGCACTATACTACTAGGTGCTCGCTTAGACTATAGTAACCAGTTTCTGAGCCCTGGAAACTCTAAAAGGAGGCTGCATGGTGGAGTCGGGATTTTCTCCTCTGGACTCTACTCTGGGACTTGACCAGACTTCAGAGCCAAGCAGTTCTCTATTCAAACTTTGGACTCCAATCCAAAAGTTTGAGTCCAAAGTTTGAATAGAGACTTTGCCACTAACTATTTGTGTCACTTTGGAAAAAGTACTTCATGTTTCTGTAACTCAGTTAATTCATCCCTCAATAGGAACTGGTAATAACTATCTCACAGGACTCCTGTGTACACTAAATGAGAAATTTTATGATATTCTGAAATATCTTATGTATCAAGTCTTTCTACTTCCTTTTAAAAAATGTGATCTAGTCACATTATGGGGTAGGCTGGGCTAATTAGGAAAGAGTTGATAAGAACTCTGTGGTGGCTTATAGTGGTCTTAATTGCTAAGACATTGCCCTGTGCTCTGTGTTAATATAACCTCAGTGCTTCATAATACTCTTTTGTGCCTACCATAACTAACCCCTTACTAAAAGAACATCATTTTTTCATAAGTATGCCTCCATCTTCCTCATGGTCATGTACCACGGGGAGGCTGATCTCAGCTTCAGGAGTGAGTCTGCATTGTCTAGGAGTAATCCATCCCCTTGGTACTCTGGTTTAGGAAGTGTTGATGATGTAACTCTGCTCGATGAAATATTAGGAGAAGGCTGCAGAAAAACTAAGGAAAGCGTCCTCCCTCATAAGAAAATGCCATCAGGAATAACTGTCTCCTTTTCTTTTTCAGGAAATTGCTTGACTCCTAGAATCATTGCAAGCCGTCAAGCATCCAGCCTTAGGATGAAAGCTGATATTGTGACTGGCAGGAGATGTTAAAAAACTGAGTTCCTGCCAGAATCAAAGAGCCATCAAGGCCTCAATACTTTGAATCTGTGGATCATAAATGTCCTTATTTAGTTTTAGTTGAGTTACTTGTTATACGAAAATGGGAAAATCTTAACTGATATGTAGGCTCAGGCACAGAACTCTTCAGTGAATAATAGTTCCTGACTTTTGTCTGTCACTGAGCAACCACCCCTTCAAAGCAGTGGCAGAACTTAGGTTTCCATGTGAAGAGGAAAACTGTAGATTCTGAATGCCTTGCCTAATGATTGCAAGAGGTTTGACAACTGTGATTGCCTTCTGTTCTAGATTTAAAGGGAAAGCCTCAAGCAGAAAACCTAAACCCTTACTTATCTAGGGGGTTCATAGGTATATTAAATACTTGAGCTTATAGATAAAACTGGTTTCAATTTACTGTATAAAAGTGCACCCTTATAAAATGTTCATTATGTATTCAATTTAGAGGGCTATACTGAGTTTGAGAAAGATAAATTCATGGTGCCAACAGTCAGAAAGATATTAAGTTTCCCCAGGCACACTGCACTAAGCAACACAAGTATAAAAACAGGTGAATATTTGGGATTGATTAAGGGCTGGGATTTTGCTAGGACAGTGGATCCAGGCACTAAATGATGGGGTAGAAGAATCGTAAAAATGATGAACCATAATTAACCATTAAGTTGGAAAGGAAGGAAAAGCTGGAATAGACTGATACGCAGGAAGAAAGGGATAAAAGAACAGAAGATTGAACAACACACAGGTTTAAGAATCTTTATGATGAACAGAGTACTTTAGTACAAGCTGTAAGTTACAGAAAATCTGAGGTTGAAGATATGCAGGATGACAGCAGCTTTTAGTGATAATTAGCACTAGAGTGATATAGACATAGCATTGTGGTAATGCCTACCAGCTCCAGATTCAACCTAAAAAGCTTTGGATCTCATTTCTTCTGTTAACCAGCTCAGTGAGCTTTGCCAAGTTACTGACCAGTCTGTGCCTCAGCTTCGTCATATGTAAAATGGAGACAACAAGAGCATCTATTTCATATGTTGTTTGGGGGATTAAATACATTTTATTTTTTTATTTAGTTCTTTTTCAAGTACAATTTTCTGTCTATTTCTCCCATCCCACCCTGCCCCGTGCTCCCCACCTCCCTCCCATTTCCACTCCCCTTAGTTATTGTCTCTGTTTCCTTTATACTTGTTCCTCTAAATCCCTCCCATTTTCCCCCTTAAATTCCCTCCCCTGTCCCCTCATTAATACATTTAGAACCCTTAGAAGAGTATCTGGTACATATCAAACACCCAATATATCTTAATAAAAATTACTATTATAAGTAATAAAAGGCTCAGGTTTTGCAGTCAGACAGATGGGTTCGATTCATACTTCCAGGGTCCAAGTTTCGTCCTCTATGCTACCTGCCCTTCTATATAGTTCTGTCTTATTCATAAAACAAAAAGACTCCAGTGCTTAGTATAAAGAAACAAATACTAAAATAGGAGAAAATAAAAGATTAAGTACACAGGTCAGAGGAATTACTTCCTACTGAGGGGCAAAGAGGAAAGGTGAGGATATCAGGAGGACTTCAAACAGACCCTAACATTTGAGCTGAGCCTAAAAGGATGAATGTGTTTCCCCAACAGAGAAACAACTGTGAGAGTAGTGACGATCAAGTGAACAGCAGGGAAAGGCACAGAAGTAGTAAACCACAGAGTATAATTGGTTTGGGAAATACCAGACGGCCCAATGTGGCTTGAGTGCAGTCAAAGTAGAGCAGGGTTTGGATTAGGGTAAGGCACCTGAGAGTGAGGGCCTCCTAAAACTGTGTCCTTATTTCATTCTAGTCCTCACCC